ATAATTCATCGTACAATTTATAAATTCTATATAGGAAGATGATATCATAAATAAAACAAAACCTAAGAATTTAATAAAATTTACAAAACATGCCGAAAGATTAACAGCATTGCCAGATGTGATAAAGGTTATCTATGTATTCGCTTTACTTAAAACGATAAATACTTAACGGACTATTGCAGGTGATTATATATTTATAGACATGTGTGAATATGTCTTGCGGTTATCGCTATGTTTGCTACTCGTATAATTGGATTATGTTTTTGCAGTCTTGAAAGTATCAGCTAACATATTGGCTAAATGCAAATATCGCTACATTTTAATTTGTGGCTATAAAATGTAATCTCTTTTAGAGATTTGCAAAAAAAAATGCTCAATAATTTCCATAAAAATTACTATGCATCACTCATAAAGGTTATTAACTAAAATAATTGTTACATATGAAAATTAAAAGATCACTTGCCTCGGTTACAGAAATGCGCAAAGACCGATAGGTAATAAAAGATAATTCAAGAAATATTTTATTATTCAAAGATTCATATTCTGAACTCCCTTTTATCGATAAATTGCTTTAAATGTGGCTTTCCAGTCGAACAGGTAGTTCTATGTCACTTTCAGAGGTATTTTTATTGCTAAACGTTAGTTCAGAATATGGACCAAAATCTCTAATTTCCAGGTATCATGCGATAATAAAAAATCACACTCAGCTTATACCAACTGAAGGCACGAACTTTTTCCTTTATTTTAAATATTCAATTATTACGGTTCGATTTTTTCTGTTCAGTTATTCAATGTCCAAAAAGTGACCATTTGGCTTTGACCATTTATTGAAGTAGAACGAATCGTGTGCAACTTTTGTTAACAAATGAATAGGAAGCTAAAGGCGCTCTCTTTAAGATACATGTGTTTGATTTTTGATAGGAATCATTTTCCATATGAAACTGAAATCAAAAGATTTGATTAAGAATTGCACTTGGTCGCCATTTTCATTAATCTAGGCTGTATTCGAGGAGCTATCAGAGCTAATAGCACGTTTCCCGAACTCACCTCTAGAAAGAACAAACCTGTGGGTTATAATCACACTACGAGTTAGGATTGAGGTTGGATTGAAATTTGACTAATCAGAGCAAAGTTCACTAAACTCAAGTTTCTATATTGAACTTTGATTGGCCAAATTTCAATCTAATCATAATCCCAATTCGTAGTGTGATTACGCCTTAAACTTATAGGTCATGAATCGTCGTGAAATTTTTTGCAGCATATTGGCAGGTTGTGAGCCTCAGCTGGCCTCAGGCTTCGGTTTATTCGCGACTACTTTCCAAATCGTGAGAATCGAAATTAAGAGAAGAAAGTAGTGAAAATCAGAAGAAATGGCTAAATTCACCACAACGTTTTACAATCTCGTTCTCAAACGAACGTCTACGTTTTCGTTGGCAGTTTTAGCTTCTGTTTTCATGTTCGAGAGAGGCTTTGATGTTCTCGCGGATAAGATTTTCGACGAAGTTAATAAAGGGGTAAATATTCACCATTATTTTATACTCCTCTTATATTTCATTTGATGTCTTTCGATTTTCAGTCACACGTATTCTGTTTCTAATTAAGGTTAGCTGATCAAGATGAGGTTAAGTCGTTAACGATCATTATTCTCGCGAATAACACTTGATTAATTAGCGAGAAAATATAATATAATATATGGAGAATTTCCTTTGGATCTTTTTAATATTAATTTATTGTTACGTTGTACGAAAACGACACGTTCTGACCTACATTCTTATGCACGAATTGGAATATTGTACCGATTGCATAACGGCCATTTAATTCTTTTTTCAGAAACTGTGGAAGCACATCAAGGATAAATACGAGTGAATGGCATCCTTTAAAGAAAGATTACGTGTTAGTTCTTATTAATACATATGTCGCCCTCACACATGTAAATAAATAAGAAATTGAGTCAATACCAGGAAGTTCCTCATTCCTTGCAAGATATCTCGTATATTATTGTGACGGAGTTAAATTGATATATTTTTATTTATTATGATTTCTTACTCATGTAGGTATGAAAGAATAAAACAATGCTTCTGTGATTGTAATTGAAAAACATCCGTACAAATATTATTTGTATTACAAAGCAGCATTATATACATAAATGATAATCTCTTGTATCGCAAGCATCTCTTTAAATGCAAAATATGCCGTGTATGAATATTAAGCTTATGTCTAAGATTATTTCTACGTGCTGCTGGAGCTCCTCATGATAGGATCCATAAGACGACCGGCGAAGAGCGTCTCACCTGTTGGTACATCGACGATAGCAAATATAAACGGTCTGTTCGCGATGAAATTCTGGCCCATCCCCATGAGAGGTATAATTGTGAGTTCTGCGAATTAACAGGTACATAACAATGTCAACAGTCTGTAACTTGGGATACGTTGAAGGAAATCCTTACAAATTACAACCGTAATATTACCTGTCACTGCAGCAGCGATCGTCCCTTCTTCGTCGACTTCTATCTTAGCGTTTTGCATTATATTCCCTATTCGCATATAATTATTATGCGCGATGCCCGTGAAATTCGCTGCCGCGCGGAAAATGTCCAGCACACCCATCTGAAACGAAAGAGTACGTTTCTAACGACCGTTATTACACTTTGCTGGGATGATAATCGTGATTGATAATTGGAATTAATAATAATAACGTTATAATATTAACGATAATCTTTCTTTCTCTTGACTTAGCGTTACGATACAGGCGGGGGATATCTCCCCGTGAATTTAATCAGCAGCCACTTACGCGCATCAAGGGTGAACGCAAATCCAGTTTGCTTTCGATGCTGAATCGCGGAATGGAGAGCAACATCTCGGTTTCCATGAGACTGGCCAGCAACGTTTTCATCGGCACGTACGACAGATCCTTGGTAAGGATCTGGAGGTACGGGTCGCTCTGTTCATGAGCCGGAAGGAATATCAACATAGACGTTCTGCCGTCCTGAAACACGCAACAAAGCGATAAGTTTTCGGGAACGCGCGGTGGATAGCGCGTGGGTCGATAAGGTCGAGGATCTCACCGAGTACGGGAGCTCCGCCACTTCGGCGTCGAGCGAGCCTATATAAGCGTACCGATACTTGGAGTTGTTCTCCATCATAGAGACGTTCCGGCAGCCGTGCTGGGGCACGTAGAAGCATCGCATATGCGTGGAGTCTCGGTCGAAGGATTTCAACCAGCGTCCTTTGAAGTACAAGGCCGAGGTCAACAGCAACTGGGTGTCAGGGTCGAGAGTGCCTGAAACGATGACGTGTGGTGTCGACGGGATCTCTACGAGAGCGCTGAAAGCTGGTGTTCTACAACCTTGAGATTGTACAAAAGGACTCTTGCGTCTAAATGATCTGATCTGAATTCGCTCGAAATGTTCTGTTTGTCAAAGCATCGATCGCTATATTCTCGGGAGAGAACTTAAGTCAAGTACCAGGTTGAACGATCGTATTGATATTGTTCCGTGTGGTTTCGCGAACCCAATTGTTGATTGTCTGCGCCGCACCGTTTGCATCCGCGAAATTCAGCTGCTGCACGTTGGTGTCGTAATGCTGTTGCAAGGCGGTCTTGTAATATTCGGACGCTGAAAGATTGGGATTGGTCCATAAGCTAGTCGCCACGTCGATCTCCGTGCCATTTCGCGAGTTCTGAAATCAATTGCGGAGTGTGACGTGAAAAATCGGACGAGTTTTCGGCAAGAAGAGCGGGAGAGCGATCGAGGCGCTTGAAGTCGGCATACTTTTCGCAAAACTTATCGCCTCATATCGTAATTTCGTGCCGTCGTGCCGGCGTGAGTAAACGCAAGGATTATTTCCGCGTGTTTACGGCATCACTTAATGACTTCAACGAGTCTCTGCCAATAAAAAAAATAACCCGACGTACCTTTAGAAGCGCGAGGGTCAGTCTAGCTGTTCTTCTGATTGCATGTTCTTCCGGCGGCAACCTCAAGGCCGACAGAAGCTCTTGACGTGTCCGACCACCTGTGCCTTCCACCAGACTCATAAGGGCGACCTTCGCGCTGGACGGGGACAGTATCACGTTTCCATCGATATTCTCGTTGATCCTCTGTGAATTGAGCGTGATTGTGAAATTGTTGGAATATTCTTAGGGTGTCTTTTACCAAATTTTCATTGAGCTGATCGATTTAAAATTGCTGCCAGTCAAATGTTATTTAGCCATGGTTAGACTTTTAACACTGGAACGACTTTCAATGAACCGTAATATTTATTTATTTATCTCTTTGCATAAACGCGGAAGACGCTACGAGGAGAAGTGATACATGTTTTTGTGTAAAAACATGTGTTTTTCCGCTAACCTTTCTGTCTAACTATAGGCTTTAATAGGTTTATCAGAGCTTGGTGAAAATCACCCTAATCTTCTCTAATTGCGTAAAATTCAGTTATAATTGAAAAACTCGTTTTTTCTTCAATCTTTCCGCAGAAAAAATCCGGAAAAGTTGAAGATAAACCGGTTTTTTTTCCGATCCTTTAAAACTAGACATTCCAGTTCTCAGTTTTATTATCTTCACGGGTTCGACGCGATCTTCTTTACCCCCGTCCGTTTCTCGTCGCGCATCTTTCCGAGGTCTTTCGCTCACCTGCAGGAGATCGATGTTGAAGAAGTTGTATCGCTCCTCGGCGCTGATCGCGACAGGAACGACTGCGGGAAAACATCTTTGCATTAATAACGAGAAACACGACGCGTGCGATTTCTTACAATGAACGATGAAGCACCCATCTGTGTCCTTACAATTACCGTTCAGGCACGCCTCTCTCTCATCATACGTGTCATCGGGCAATTCGCGCGAATCACCATCACAATTCGCTTTATTCCGCTTAGAGATGACGGATTCGCGCGGAAAGTGCCGACGGCACTAATCGTCCGCGAAAATAACCGGAAGTGCATGAGCATGCTCGGTGAACGCTTATCGTCGACAGCGTCGTATTTCAAATTACAGGCACGGAATCGTCGTCGCGCAGATATTGCACGGAGCGTGACTAAAGGTCACCACGTGATCTCCGTTGCGAAGGATTTTCCTTGTCCGAGGCGCTCAGTCTCCCTTTTACGGTCGGACCGCATACAAAAGCGAAGATGCCAAGGGAACGATAAGGCCGTATCGAGGACCGATCGCAAAAAAAAAATGGCCGAGTGATTTTAATGCCTGTCTGGCTGATGAGGTCGAACGATTATGTAATCGCGCGTGGAACGCGGCCCGGCAGAAACGATCGGCGGTTTTTTCTGATTAATGGTCAAGCTCAGATAGGTGACTAGAGAGCGAAAAAGAGAGAGAGAAAGGACTAGAGACGCAACTCGACGCTGACTCCGAGAATGATCGAGGTAAACAGGTTTAAATGGCGTGAAGAAATGTAAGGATTATCTTCGTGTCTCGGGCTCGTCTCTCATACTTATTAGATACACTTTCCGATGGGCGGTTTGATGATGAAGATGACAAAACCCGGGGCGACTAAAAGACTTAGATTGATGAGAGAGAGACGTTTACGAGAAGCGTCTCTGAAGGAGTCTCCGCGACGCGTTCTCTTCTCTTCTTGTTTCCTCGTTTAAGAGCGATATACCTGCGAAGGCGCACCAGAGGATCCACATCGAGGACGGCCGCATTATCGTGAAATGAAAGTAGACGCGCGGAACGCCGACACGTAACTGATGTACGTGTAAGGATATGTATTTCTCGTGACTCGCACAGCGCGCGGATGAACACGGATAACGGAAACACGACGATATACCAGGAGACTCGGACTTCTAGCCACATTTCCGGTTAGGAGTCGTCCCCCACCTCACAGCGGCTGGATGCTGGTTTGTTGCTTCATCGCGATGCAAATATAATGCGGCCCAACACGCGAACAAACTAGCCGACCACACGCGGAACGGAAATTCGCGTTAACGCCTCTCTTTCTCTCTTCCTCCTTGGATTAAGAGACACACACGTTAATCTTTTGCGGTAACGCCGTTTTCCTCTTGAGAAACTTGACTTTTTTTTTCTTTTTTTACCGAGCGTTGAGTTATTGATATAATTATTAAACTACTAGTGTATGATTCGGGGAAGTGCATCCTGTCATGAGAACAAAAGGATTTTGTGACCTCCCGGAACGTGACAGAACAATTTTATCCATTTTGCTCTACTCTCCTCACTCGTTCCCGCATTTCTTTCAAATAAGTAATTTCACGTGCCTTTTACATAATTTTCACGTGATTTAATTTTTTTTCTTTAACAGAGCCTGCGAGGAGTGCACGATTGCGAATTTTTATGAGTTTAATCGCTGTCACGAATTATCGGTGAAAATGTGAAAGAAACTGTTTAAGCGAACAGCGTCACTTGCACTTGCGATAAGAAGATGTGGAATAACGGTGTTTGCGATGATATCGAAATGTAAACACAGTTGTAGAACAGATAGGGGCGTATTAGGGGAGAGCAAGCTCGTCACGGGATTTCCGGGGAACGTTATCGGGATATCCCCGTTGAAACTCGTTTGGAAAACCTGTATCTGCGGTGTGACGTCGAGACAGATCTTCAATCGTTTGCTTAAATGAAGCAAACGATTCGCGGAATCGTAGTAGGCAATGACACGTACATGAAGTGAATAGCCCCACCCACGTTTAACGGGAATGCCGATAATTGCGCGAGTCCATCGTCAGGTTCTCTCATGCAATGTTGCGGGTCAGTTTGCGCTATGATACTGATAGAACGGAGAAAGCAAAGAGAGAAAGCACCGATCGATATTCCAATAATTTGAGCTCAATTGTTAACTCTACACTACTTGTTTATTAATTATCATGCGCGCGCAGTAATAATTCCTCGCTGGTAGAAATTTCTGATGTAACGTATATACAAGCTGTTCCTGTGAAATTTACGCAATCGAAATAGAAACAGGGGAGTGGAATTTTGACTGATGGCCATGACAATGGAAGCAAATAAGGAAGCCAAACTTTTTTTTGGTAAATCTGCATATTATTAGACTACTCGAAGAGAAAAAAAAATGGCGAGGTTATTTAAATCCTCGAATTTAGCGTCATACATATGTACGCATGTCGGCGGTAACTAGATCAATTCCTTTATTCTTTGGTATAACGACACTCTCGATACAATTCACGTTCGAACGTATCTCGAATGTATGACGTGAGATTTGCGCGCGAACTTAACGCTACACCGAGGAACACCAAGTCATATTCACGGTTGTAATAATACGCGATTATAGATTGCAATCTTACAATCCGTGAAATGTAGTAATACTATAATGACACATAAAATGTATGTATTTAACGAGAAATATCCAGAATATCGTTATCGTACGCTGTACTTGAATTATGAGGCGACGTTTTCCCGCTTGTCACAGATCAAATAAAGATAGTTATTCGCGTAATTCAACGTCTCCCAAGCAGATAAGACTTGTAATCGAACCGAAGAAGCGGTTACGTCAGACTCAATCACATTACAATACTCAATTACCCACTACGCAATATAAATATAGAGTCACGCATGCATCTCGAAGTAAGCTCCACTTGTACGGGGTGTTTTATTTGAAATTCGGCGCTCGCGGGCATATCTTCTTGATGAAAATCTTGGTGGAATGAAAGAAAAATCAATTCAATATTAACGCAATTGATGAAATAATGTTTTTACGTACAAAAGAATTTTGTCGGTTAGTATTTTCATTAAACAGAGGTCATTTTCTTCGTTATAATTTTTATATATCCTAAATTGTGCGAGCTTTGCACGAATTTGAGGTGAAACACCCCGCGTATCATCAAGTGGCTGTTAATATTAGGAGAAGAAATATAATAATATATATATCTTAATACTTTGGTATTACTTAACTCAATTAAACAACCAATGTGAGGCTGTTCTACTTGATAAAAAAGAAGATGGGAAGAAGACCGCGTTGTATAATTATACTTATGGTAAGCGCCATCACATTATCATAGGAGGGAAATGTGTTATGAATCTTCACCATTCACCAATTAATGAATAACTTTACAATCGTTTACCAGGTCTGGTCGTGTTCGTGTGGTCCTGCGAACCGAATCGTGATTCTGTTTCAACTTGCGCCGTTGTCCCGGGTGCGTCCAGTGGATTCCGCACTACGCCGACAAAAAGGATAGTACCTGTGGTCTCATCCTCGATGTAGAATACAAACGGATGATTGGCGTTGAATGTGCCTTCTTCTATCTTGTTTCCAATCTGTATCTCTGCGCCGAGAAAAGAGAACAGGAGTGTGACGAATGTCGACAAAGAAGCCAATTTTTGGCTTGTGATTTTACAAATCATACGAAAATAACTGGGATGGGCAAACTGTTGCTGGGATATAAGGAAATATAGAGAGAAATATAAAGATTATTGCATGGGAAAAAAATTAATATTCAAAATTCATATTCTCATATATAATCAAAAATATATAAATTTCATAAGAGAATAAAGCCTGTTTGCACTTGAAGAAATTTTATATAGTTCTGTGAAACATATCATATTTTTGTTATTCGAGAATAATTTTCATGAAACGAGAGGAGAAATATTGGGTGAAAAGAACGATATCTTCAAATTAAGAATTGTATCAGTTTGGAAATATTGTTTTTTCTATCCAATATATCTTTCCCTCTCAATTCATAGAAATTATTATAATAATTAATTATTATATTATATGAATTGATACTAATTTTTTCCCGTGTATTCCTTAAAATATCACTATAATCCAATGAAAAGGATAAAAATGTAGGTTAATATTAATTTTACACCATAATATTAATATACTGTGTGACTTATCAAAGAACGTACCAGTGGCAGCGAAAGCAATCGTGCCGTTTTCATTCACTTCTATTCCGGTCTTGTGTAGCACGTCGGACACCTGCAGGTGTTTGGCGCCCCGTTTCGTTTTCGCTATACCCGTCAACAACGCAGTGTTGTCGAAGATGTCATGAATACCAAGCTGTTGAAGAAAAAAAATATATATATAAATAAAATAATCACATGTCATGATCATAATCACGAATGGCGGTCGTAAATCTCTAATGAACGGCGCAGTGTGAATAAATTACCGCGCGCAAGGTTCTTTCCAAGTGGCTCGTGAACTCAAACTTGAATTTCGGGATCCAAATGTTCAGCGGCAGATCCTGCATGGCCCACATCTCTCTCCCCAGTGTAAACGGATCGATTTCGTCCAAAACGTGATCCACACCGGTCAGCGTGTGCGGCAGTAAGATGTACATGGCGAATTTCGAACCCTGAGAAAAAAGCAGATATTATCTTGGCGCGATACAATTTATTCATTTATTTATTATTTATTTATTTATATATTAAAATTACATTACGAGGATTTTTACATACGTCGTACGGGATCCGGAGGATCTTTGCGCCGAGCTTCGCGGACTCGCCGCAGTAAAATCGACCCACACTGTGCATGAACGGTACATTTACATGATCGTTAGCGTTGATGTAAAACTTGGAAACGCGAGTCTTCTCGGCCGCGAAATATTGGCGGCGCCAAGCACCTTTGAAGAACATTCCATTCGCGATCAGCATCACCGTATCCTTCAGGCTTTTCTCTAGAATGTGAAACAAAGCGTTAAGCGTGTGCTCGAACCGACTGTTGCGAGATATCAAACGTGAAGACTCGTTTAATTCTTTAAAAACAACTTCTTCAAGATTGGCTTTCAATATCGGCGCGTGAAATCATCATTCGATTGAAATCGAGGCAGACTCCGACACCCACCATCGTTTATCATGTTCTCAATGTGTCCATCCGTGATGTTATTGATCCAAGAATTAACTTTGGTCGCAAGGGCGTGCACATCCAACATGTCGGTGCTGAACACATTGGTGTTGTAAAAGGTCTTCACCGTCGCCGCGTATCGTTGTCTGAGGAGTACGTTATTATCGATATAAATGCGCGATCCGATATTCAAGGTATACGCTGGAGACGGAGTCTGTAAGCCAAAGTCGCACGCAACTTGGTAAATATACATGTAAATTGTATATTTAAAATAAAAATCAATGCAATCGTATGATATAAAAAAAATTAGATACAGTTTTTCTTGACGGAAGTTTAAGTGCGAATCTGTGGAATTTATACAATTAGTTCATCTTGCGTATGATCGAATATATTAATTACAGACATACTTATAATAAAAAAAAGCCGGTTTCTTTAATCGTTGGAAAAAAGAAAAAAATTGATTTTTTGCTACTTAAAAAATCCGATTTTCTCTTGAGCCTTCAAAATTATAGATTTACCTGCAGAGATTTCAGGATATTGGTAAATCTCTCCCGAGTGGCCAATAAGTTAACTGGAAGTTGCATAACATTAGCAAGTTCTTGAGCGGTTTGCTCCTGCGCTCCCTCGTAGAGGAGCACCAATGCCAATTTGATGGAAATCGGTGAGATCAATACGTTGCTTGGGTTTGTTTTGCTGAGACTCTAAAAGTGCCAAAAACAAAGTGTCTGTCAAAGTTATGTTCTTGTGATTACGCGGAATAAAAATGATTACTATCCTATATATATATATAATATATGGGGATTAAAATTTTAAAAATCCTATACAGCATAGATCTCCAAGGAACGTCCTGAAAACGCTCAAAGAACGTTCTAGAGACGTCCCTCAGATAAAATGTGTTGTGTAAGATACGATTTAGTAAATGTTTAAATTAGTGATATTTCGTCTCAACGTGTTTTCCGCCGCCGTCGTTTATTATATTTCCGCATTCGTATCAACCACTGATAAATTTAATGGGCAACACTTGCGTAAATATCCAAATATCAATTCTTGCACACAAATATTGCCCACTACGACAAGGTTTCGTTCACATATACCAGCAATTTTTGCGCATTGTGATTTGTTGGGTATCTATGCGCAAAATGTTTTCTATGTACCTTAAACAACATCCAATCAAATGTGGTGAAACGCTCGCCTTGATAAGGCACGAAATCTTCATCGTCGTCAGAATGAGATTGAGCCGTGACGGGATTTAACGACTGAGATACGTTGGTCTTTGCAGCTCTTTGCGGCATAGCGTAGGTGCCTTCTCTCGTAAGAAACACCACAACCGAACAGAGACATAGCAGATATCCTACAATTAAAAATATCTTTTGTTTAAAGCGTATAAATCCCAAAAGTCATCCCGGAACGATGTCTGTAAGAACGTTAAATTTTTATTAAGTAAAGAAGACGATATTGTTCAATGTGCAATTATTTAATGAGTAATGGTTGTACTTCTGTGTACAAATCGAATAATTAATTTTAAATGTCATGCTAATCTTATGGTTTTCCTTTTAATACTAAATTGTTTTATTATGCAACGAATGAGTCTTTTCTTTTATTAATTACTGTCATTATCGACATTCGAGCGAAGATATAACGCGTTTTACGCTTCCGAGAATTTTCTATGATTACGTGTTTAATAATAAATTTCCGGTTTTTAGCTTGAATTGTTTTGTTTATTACATATTATCAGCGACACTTCTGACTAGATGACATAGTTCGATAATAACGACCATATAGATGTTTATCAAAACGGAAACCTCGGGGAAACCACATTTTAGTTGGCGGTCAGCAACCTCAATTGGTATATAGCCTTGAGCTTTTTATACTCTGTGAGTGAAAAAGAATCTCAAGGATCTTAACATTGGCCTTTAATGTTTGCATTGCACTTTTTTTTTTATCTTTATACTTCATTTGCATTTTGTATCACGGCAGACACATTCGAGAGGATTCAACAGACATGTAAAAAAACTAAATGATAACTTAGCATAACATTTAACGACGTACCCGAGATATTTATATCTTTTTTCGAATAACTCCGTAAAGCAGAAATCACACACCGTAAAAGTTGAACGTGAAACAAATTTAACAAATAACATAATCTTAAATAAACATAATTATTATACGCGCTTAATAATCATGATCCTCAATTTAGAAGAATATTATAACGTAATTTTTTTAAATACACTTTTAGAAAATTTCTGTCAGTAATAATTTTATAAAGGAACGTATCTCGCTCACCCAATTGCAGCCGCATGATCGATGATCGTTCGTTACTTGAATTCAGGAAACTCGTTGATGTCGCGTGACGAATTAATCTTCAGACAGATTTTCGGCCTCGCGAACTGACGCTACTCGTGGAGAGCGTGTGCTCCGGTGTACGGTAAAGAATAAAACCGGTCAGCCGGACGATCCGGTAGATTATACAGTCTATCCGCGAGGAAGAGAAGTGGTAATCCGCGCGGCAGTGAGGCGCGGAGGGGTCCTCCCGAAGCGGAGGAGGAAACACGGTGGTGATTGTGACTCAGGAGCGAATAATTTTACACGTGTTAAATCGTAAGGTCATCTGCGCGATAACACTCGCACATGTGTGAAATTTGCCGGACTGTTGACGCGTGATAAATGATTTCGCCGCCGGGATTTACGCGGGAGATCCTCCCGAAGGACGTTAAGTAACGGATCTTGAAGAATTCACGTTGCACGTTGATAGAACATGTGTTGGTTCGACAGCGCCAAGTTCAATTTCAAGTAGGTCTCGAAATCAATAAGTTTGCGAAACTGTTCTCTGACGACTTAATGGCAAATTAAATACTGGTGTTGAGACGTCGCTTTTTATTGTCTCCAGCAAATCTTCGCAAAATGTTTCAGAGATAAGACGTAAAACATGATCAATGGACAACGTTGACTTATGACGTCGGACTTATCTCCGCGGACTCCACGTAATTCCCGGAGCTTTGTACAACTAAACAAGATCGTCCGATAGCACAGTCTAGTCAGGCATGACAAACGAATGGAAAAACAATCGTAGCTTTTAAGTTCTTCACAAAAATTCCGATCAGCGTCACATCTCGCGTGAACGTCATCGAGTATAGGAATGGGACGCACAATCGGGAAAAGTTAAACTTGGGATAACGTTATCGAGAGTGTAAACTAACCAGCGATTGGTTCTTTCTTTACATTATCAAAGACCATTTGCCTTAATACTTAATTATATCAAAACGTTCTTCACTGAGGTATCGGTAAGCCACAGCTTAACACGTGTGAGACTTACAAACTGACTGTAAAACAAACTGACTAAAAAATGAACGAAAAATAATATAATATGGGAAATTTTAAAAAGAAATAAAAATGTCACATTTCTTGTGAAAAAGAACTATAAAAAGGATGACAATTGCTTCCTGGTAACGTCTAACAGAAGAAATTCGTTAAAAACGCATAGACGTTACTCCCACGATGTCGTTGCTATCGCATCCTAGCCGATTTTTCCATTCTTCTGTGCACTGGAAAACTTGTCGACTGCGTTGTCGACAATTCCTGTGAGCATGTCTAGGTAATCGATCGGAATATATGGACTAGCCAATTCCCTTAAGTAGCTTCTCGCCTGTACAGATAATAAAATTTACAATTCGCTGCAAATAATGATCCGAGAGAAATTCGGGACGTTTATAAATATGTGTATTTATCAATCATATGTGAAAACTCTTCATTCGTTTGCTCGCCGCGTACAAATTAAAATTATCCTGTCTACAATACATAATTATTGAAAAATCGATGCACCATCCTAAGCAAAAGTAAACATGTTCGATTAATCAGTCACAATGACACGAATCAGACGACGAGATAACAAGGTATTGCAACACTTGCAGCTCCGTTCCTATCAGCAAAAATGGATCTTGGAGGGAAACACGAAAGGATGACCGATCGAAAATTCAACGAAAGAAGCTGATGCTGATCGCTTGCCGATTGCGATGATTCATTTACAAATTAAACGCTATACCATTCTGACAATAGCCACAGAAGCGGATAGAGAAATACATCCGCTTCACGCTATTGAGAAGAATAATGACTTGCCTGATTCGTGTTGCGTCTCAGTGCCGACAAAATGCTGTCGCAGGCCGAAGTGTATTTACAAGTCAAGAAGATAAAACCTTTGATTAAACCTGTGACTAGCAGACCTGGCAGTAGATAGGGCCCGGTGTAAGTAGCCACTTTCTTGTGGTGTACGCGAGTGTTAAAAACGTTCGAAAAAAACCAGCCGTTTTTTTGCGATACTGTTAATGCCGTATCGTTGCCCTCATATTTGGCGTCGATACTCGTCTCGGTGGTAGTTTCGTTGGTGACCGTTGCGTATGTCGTTTGCGGGGAAGTTTGTACAGAGGAGTGCACTGATGATGAGGTAACATTTGACGACGTCTGGTAAACAGGGTCGTACGTTGTCAATGTCTGTTCCCGAGAATTTTCCAACAGGTTCCTCACGTCCCTTGCAAAAATGCCCCAATAAGCATTTAGGATTCCAAACAAGAACACAATCTTTCCTGACTTTATAATACTTGGTCTTCAAATTGAGAGATCTCTCGAACAGGCTTGTCTGGAGAAGAGAAAACAGAACGCGAATAATTAGCGGAGCACAATCGGGAAATTTGGGTTGAATATAATCGACGATAGCATATTGCAAATATTGCACTTACGGGTAGAGAGATGCTCCTCTTGATTATAGAGCAGTCGGCTCTGTCGTTTGTGTAACTTTGTACTCGCACAAATCACATACACACGCACGCACGCACGCACGCACGCACACACGACCGTTTCTCGCACGGATTTCTGGATTAACGAAGTTCCCTCGCTCGGCGAGACAATTTGAAACTGAGACAAAATGTCATTTTGCATCTATACATACCCTCTTACCTGCTTATACCCATACAAACATAATTATATAAATTTTAATTGCCCATTTTTATCTACTATCTGTTGTCTGAGCCATTTCGTCCTTTTATACCTGCAGGGGATAATTTTAACACATCCTATCTCGGGCGACTAAGTAAAGATACCTTCTCCCGACTTTGACTACAGTCATTGGTACCTGTTCAATTTTCAGACAAACACAGCTTTCCTTTTTAGAGAACGCAATTTTTCACTTCAGACATATCGTTCTATCAGCGGAGTGATGTAACTTGAAAAATTGGCAACATTTTAACGACTTTCGTATTTATATATTATACCTCTATTGTAACATTGTAATATATCTTACAATATATCCTATATAATATCCTATTCAGCTCTAATTTATTATCATACATTGAAGGTATTGCAACATATCGATTAAAGTTGAATAATAAATAAATCCATGGGGAATAATTTCACAAGATGGTGAGACAAACATTTGATTCGGACATTAATTACGAAGACATCTACCAATACCTTCATAAATCGTCGCATTAAAGATAGAGCTTATCGCGATTTTATTCTATATAGATATTACCGTAACGAAAATACGACAGGAATCTTGAACGGATACTCACGAAAAATGTACATATATACACTGTATATGCGAAAATAATTTCTTATTATCGTCGTTAACCTTCAAACAACAAAGTTCATATGGGTCGAATCCAACCTATAGAGGCATTTTGTAGATTTTCGATTTTTACTTTTTCGACTAGGCACTTTCTATTCTCACAATGAGTTAGAAAATATTTGAAACTAAAGAAAATATATCGCAGAATATGTAAAAATATCTGAAATGCTCTGCAAACGTGTTCGCGGAAGCATTAGAATATGGATCCGGTCAGACCCGACCAATCTTGTTATCTGAAAGTTACAGCACCTGAATTCGATATGATTTCCGTAATTCACAATAATACCAAATTAGTCTGCTTGCACTTGTATACGCAGCTGTTCAATCTCGTCCTCGCTGCTCACAGAGGTGTTAAAAATGTTCATATTCTTCCTTTTGCTAATCTGCTTCGCATTATCCTTACTCGAATGGAAACGTTTGCGCTTTTTGCTTTCCAATTCCCTCTCGGCTATCTCCAATATCGTATCGTTCTGGGCCAGCACGCTCATCTCGGCGTCTTCACTCACGCAGAACGAGTCCTACGATCGAAAAGAAAGAGGGTTCTATTAATGGTAGATACATGAAACGGTGTCTGCTGTTGAATCGCCTTAAATTTTGGCTGCTGACGCCGTAAATTAACTTATTAAAGCCCATGGCTAATAACCAGTAAAGTTAGCGAAAAACCAACAATTGCAAATAGGGTCGGAGCATGAAAAATCATATTGGATATAAAAAGCACACTGCAAAAATCAATTTTACAATAAATTGTTACAAACAAATTATTAAATGTCAGCTGTAGAGCAAAACCAATTATGCAATCGATTCTACGGAAAAAGTTATACAAAAAACATGTATGTATGTATCACCTTTTCTTGCAGCGTTTTCCGTTTATATAAAAAACAAATAAATATATAAATAAATCGTAATATTAATTTTTTTTCGCATAAACGAAAGGCGCTACGAAGAAAAGTGATACATATTTTTTTATGTAACTTTTTCCATAGAATCGATTATTGGTCAAGCTTAATGGACTTTAATGAGTTAAAATGTGCACCCATCATACGTACATAAAGATACGAGTCCTGCAGTTGCGACGAGGGAAACTGCGAATAGATCTCTATGTCCGGGTCGGGCGATCGCGGCTTCTTGATATGGAATGCACCAGGTTTTTTAATCGGACTCTTGACAGTTTGCAGGTAATGCGCCTCCATGTCCACCGGGTTGTTCACATTCTGGGTATAACTCACGAAATCTCCCAGATCCTCGTCCATCGTGGAAGACACGCTCTCATCCGAACTGCCGATTAAACTCACCTCTGCCTCGTCGTCTATGAACTCGTTCTTCCGTCTCTTCTTTCTGTGCTTACTGCTGACTTTCCGCGCGACTTCTGCGTTCAAATGGGATATTTGCCTCGACGTACTACTAACGCCAGATTCTAAAGCACTCTGTTCCCGCCTACCGTTGATGCACTTCCTAGGCGCTTCGAAGACACTCAAGTCTATCGTGCTTGTACAAAGGTTCTTATTCCTTTTCAAAGATAACATGGGACGCCTGTTATCGGCCGGCGACGATACACCGAGCGGTTTCATCCCTTTCGACGTGCTGCTGAAGTTGTTACTTTCAGTTGTCAAACTCTTCAACGTGTTATCGAAGTAGTTATTGTAGCTGAACGAATTCTTCGTTGTATTACGCGAATGATCACGTTCGCCTTTCGGGATTTTCGACGCACGAAAGTAACTGCTCTCAAGTTCGTCGAATTTCTTCACACTATCCTCCGTGAACATAAAGTCCTCGTCGGAATCACACTGCAGGTTAACATGCTGTCTCGTGGTGCATGATTTGGCGATGATAGAGTCGCGATTGATATTGGATAACTTTTTTAATCCCAAACACGTGTTTCGTTTGCCAACTTCAGTTTTACCTTTGACACCGGTAGAAATCCAATCGGGACTACTGTTCCCTTTACTTACGGAAGGTCTTGGCGATTTTTCCAAATCTTTTTTCGTTCGCGCTATTTCTTCGATAGCTTGAGTAATGGATAAGAAGCTCTGTTCTGGTACTGAATGCTGCATTGGCTTATCCTTGTGAGATTGATCACACATGAATTCATCCATATCATCACCAAAATCCAGATCTTTTATTTCATCTATTTCATTCCCTGCGGATTTGTTCGCTTGGTCGGATTTCGCTGGTTCCACCGATTCTGGCAAATCTGGATTACATTCATCAAAGTCCGTGTCGTCCAGAAAGATATCAACGACACTTTCGTACGCTGCATTGTTATTCTCTGCATTGTTAACAAGGGTATTTGCAGAATTTGGAGATATTGTATTTTGTTGTGCTGTATCTTCAGTTGCGAAATCATCGTCGGTTGAGCTAAACGAGATATTTAACAGATTTTCTTCGAATATACTAGGTTGGTCGAGCATGTTGTTTGACAATTGCGTCTTTGCGTAATCAGTCACGATTTCATTATCTTTCTTATCAGATGCAGGAGCTTTGGTTGTATAAACTGAATCTCTTTCGATTTCATCAATTATTCTGCTCGCACGTGAAACTGTGGTTATATTCGAGTCAGAATCATCCATTAAGTCCTCAAATCTTACTTCACTGGTGTCCATGTTCCTATCGTTCCGGATAGTGCACCAAAAGTTATCATCATCGGTGTCAACATTATCGTTATCATTCTGAATATTTTCATTCTCACAGTTTTCATGTTTCGTTGGCAGAAAATTTATTAAATTCGCAAATAAGAGAGGTAAAGAATCGAGTATTCGTATGTCAGGTATTACAAAGTTAAATGGATCTTTAACTGGTATTGCCGCAGGAATGTAAGTCGTATCCATTTTATGCACAATCTCGGAAGATATTTCTTCCTCCGATTTTTTAACTGCACATAATGTCAGGAAATCAATTCCCGCGTTATCATCGGATAATAGCTTGACATTGTTAGGATCTATCCTGGTGTGCACGTTATCATTCTGTGCTGTTAATATAACAATATCATCTGAATTATCTTGCGTATGTTGGTTATATTTACCAAGAAATTTAATCAGTGATGATTGACCCGCATTTTTTGATATTGCTGTAAAATATACATACATTTTTTTAAACAAATCGGCTAATAAAGCAGATATGTAAGACGTAAAGACAGAATATCAAATACAAGTTAGTCATAAGACTCACTCTCTTTTTGTTTTGTGCTGGACGCTTCATTCTTCTTGTTGGCATCTTTCCTTTTTCTTTTACCCTTTACATTCGGTGTCTTTGGTAATGCAGTTATATGTATCTTGTGACATTCTGGATTGAATTGATTCGGAATCATTCTAGGATTGTCCTGATACAAGGACGAAAATATATTGCTCGTATTTAATATTTTATTATTCAAGGAGTCCCTCTTAGACAGCGTGGATTTCAGATTCTGCAAAAATAATTTAGCAACGTATTGAGATATACACGTACAAAATGTAAATTCTTCAGTTACCTCATGCTCTTTCCCATCCGTAACAAGAATAATTATATGACCATCGCGTTTGCGTCCTGTTCGGCCCATTCTTTGAACTAGCCTTATCGGAGAATGCTGTGATACATCAAAGCATACTATCAAATCTACTTCACCAACATCCAATCCTTCCTCACCTACATCATAGATGTGTATTGAAAGAGTGGCATATCTCATAGATCTAATAAAAACAATATTTTGTAGGTTGATATATACCCCACCTATACTTGTCGAAATCAATACATTCACGTGATTATCTCTAAAATCTTCTAACGCTTTTATCTGTTGCTTCTGCTTCTGACCAGCTTGGCCAACAAACATTTGCGGTCTAATTAATGGTTTCGATTTCAGAAGCATAATATAAACTTCATTGACTATATCCCTGTACTGAAATTGTGGAGATATAATAAACTGTTTTTTTTTTTTTCTTTTAAACATTAAACATGTAATATTCTGAAAGACTGATAGAGATATACAAACTTCCACAAAGACTATGGCTCTTGTATTCGCACATTCGCTATTGTTTTTTTTAAAATGATGTTCAAGCAATTCTTTCAATTTATAAAATTTATTGTGTCCAAATACAATATCTGTTGGAATCTAAAATAAATTGTTTTTGGATATTATTTTCCCTTACAATTTTACTGTATTATCAAGATATTCTTTACAAACCTCAGACATATTTCCATCAGGAAGAATATCTGGAAATGGTCCAAGATAAGTCTCTATGTCACGCAATAATTCTTGCAACAGATTTTCACTATTCATCCAGAATTTATCAGAATGATCTAAAATAAATATTTGTATGATTCATATTCTTAAATTATGTTAAGTAATTAGTTTTCAACTAGTAAATATTAATGATACAGTAATTAATAATTCATCAGTTGTAACATACTTTGATAAAATTTGCTGAAAGCTCGTAATCCATGCCTAATCATAAGATCGTAAGCGTGATACATGGTTAGCAATATATTCAAGGTTTTCATAATTTGTGCATAATTTCCGGATTTGTCAGTTTTCGTTTTGTATTCGTTTAACAGGTGAAATATCTGGAAAAAATTGTTCAACAAAAAATAACAATTTTCTCGCTACTATAAATCAAAAGAAATTAAACTACCTACTCTTCCCTTTGATATGTTAGCAGTCTGCCCTCGCAATATATTACTTTGCAGAAGAAACTTCACATGGCGATCCATGATAATAATATATTTTTCTTTGAACTGAGCCAATTCATTACTGAGGGGCACTAAGATAGTATCAATTTTTCTTTTGTTAACATATGGTGTTATATCCGTTGAATTTTCATCTCTCAATTCCAAGTGAGAAATGCATAAATTCTGTATTATCTGTATAACAAAATATACATCAGAAAATTAAAATAATCATTATTCCAACAAATTCTCAACAAAAATAAATAACAAAATGATCTTACTTCGTGAACATTATCTATTTTATTTCCAGGTGTAGCAGAAAGTGCTAATACTCTAAAATATTTATTCTGTGTACACAATATTCTGATACACTAAAAATTAAAAGTCACAATTTGATCAATTTACAAAAAAAATAATGGGATATACACATATAATTCATATATAATTTTTTATATTTCTTTACCTCACAATATGAATGTTTGCCCAAAGCTTTATGAGCCTCGTCCACAACAACACATTTAACTAAGTGGCTAGGTACAATTGATTTTCCTAAATCATTATGAAACACTTGAGGAGTGGCAAATATTATTCTCTTTTTAACCCAAGCTATTCCACGATTCTTTTGATTAACTGTACCTATAGATTAAGCAATATATATTTGTACTATATATGGCAAACGTATCTAAAATAAATAAGTATACATATGTAATACCATTAATAATAAATGACAAATATAAAAACCTGTAAGTTCCATCATATCAATACTTGGTATCCCCATTACATTATAACATGCTTCAATCTGTTGAGCAACCAAAGGTTTCGTTGGTGCAAGGAACACAATCTTCCCAAAGGGAAACCACCTCCAGAAATTGTACATTACAACAGCAGCAATAAAAGTCTTTCCCAAACCTGGAACAAATTTCAAGACCAAATTTTACATACTTAATCTTATGCTGATGATAATGATAGAGATGAATATTTCTTTTCTTACCAGTTGGTAAACAAACCAAGGTATTGTAATAGAGAGCAGTCTTAACTATGTTATACTGATATTCGCGAACTGGATAATTTTCTGGATAAATCCAAATATTGCCAGTTGACATATCAAATCCTCTAGTCTCTGGATCATTCGAAGTTTGAGTAATTTGCGATGGCAAATCCATTCTGGCGAGACTTTATTCGATTTTCGCACTTCAACGGCAGATTCGACGGATCGACAATGATGATTCTTCAACATAATCAACATTAATATAATTATATCAACATTTATTTGTCACACATACGCGCACACTATCACATAAAATCAGCAGCACAACGTTCCGAAAAATTTGTATCATAAAAATACGGAATCACGTGATCACATGACTGTGATTTATCCATTGATCATAAATATTCATGTTGCATCCAACGTCCTCGATTTGGTTTACAACGAGCAGAAATTCAAACATTTAGAAACAGAGGCGCTAGCTGCTCGTACGAAATCTGTCTGACTAGCTATTCCATCTTGCTACTGAAAGATGAAAAGTCCGGCTGATCCATTGTTGAGTTATACCATTTGAAAAGTACAGGTCCGCCTGTTCGTTACCCTTGATCTAATGCAATTCGTTTTCGCGCACCGGTGGCGATAATTGCATGACTCGGTTGAAGACCGCATTGACTGGCATCGACTAAGGGACACGATGGCAAAACAGTTGTCAAGTAAAATTTTAGACTACTTAAACAAGCATAATGAGGTGAATTCATTGGATTTGAGTACTGAGTTGGGAGAGCATCACGATTTGGTTATAGGTGCCATCAAAAGCCTCCAAACGTTCGATGATGTAAGTTTGCTCAAGTTAATTTATTCGCAATTTGTTACATGTGCTGCGGTGTATTATATTTTCAATTTACTTCTACATATGCGTTTATACATCAAATTGTTACCAAGTGATTGTGCTTTCATCGAATATTTTCTCAAGTCGCAGTATCATTGCAAATATGTTAATTGCTTACACGGTTGAAATTTATTTTCGATAGTTGATTGCAGTGAAACCGGCTGTTAAGAGGGTATGGGAGATTGTACCAGAAGGCCAACATGTATTAAATTATGGCAGCCACGAAGCAGTTATTTACAATTCTGTTCCCGACAAAGGTATACCTCAGAAGGAACTCATAGAATCAAGTCCTTATGCCAAACTAGGTTTCTCTAAGGCAATGGCTGCTGGATGGATCAAGCTGGACAATGATAATGGCATTCCTATTGTAAGAAAGAAAGTATCGTCCATTGTGGATACTGTACATATACATCTGAAGGATATTGAAAATATCCCAGAAAAAGTTAAAGTGGAATACAAGAAAAGGAAGCTTCTACAAGAGGTGTAAGCATATAATTATATAGGTTCAAAAACATAATTCTAAATTCCTTTTTTATCTGTTTTTGTTTCCTTGCAATAGGGTGATTAATATGTTACATGTAGAAAAAGGATCGAATTTTTCTACAAAAACAGAAAAGTTAGAAGCTGACTTGACGTCAGATCTACTAGCACACAATGCTTGGAAGAGCAAGAAATTTAAACCGTACAACTTTGATGCTCTAGGTGCAGCACTTCCAAGTGGTCACTTGCATCCACTGTTGAAAGTTCGGCATGAATTTAGAAAAATTTTCTTGGAAATGGGGTATGCGAAGATATAAGCAAAAGTCTCTGTAATTATAAGAGGCAATGTGGGGTAAAGTGTTGATTGAAATTGCAAAAATCGTTATTTTTTTAGATTCACGGAGATGCCAGCAAATAATTATGTGGAGAATTCTTTCTGGAACTTTGACGCTCTCTTTCAGCCACAGCAGCATCCCGCTCGCGATGCACACGATACCTTTTTCATTTCTGGTACTTTGTCAATGATCGAGATGACATAAAGAAATCGGTCGAAAAAATACAAGCAAGAAACTACTATTCTCTATATTTTAGAGCCGCGCATCAGTACAAAGTTCCCTATAGAATATCTCGAAAGGGTGAAGAAGGTTCATAGTGTAGGAAATTATGGTTCTCAGGGTTACAAATATGACTGGAAGCTTGAAGAAGCGCAGAAGAACTTGCTGCGCACTCACACGACAGCTGTTAGCGCACGGGTGTTACATAAACTTGTGCTGGAAGTACGGTCAAAGAGAAGGCACACATACATACACACACATAGGCCACTTCTTTAAGGATGATAAATTACAGTGGAAAATGTTTTACAGGAGGGATTTAAGCCGGTTAGGTACTTCAGTATTGATAGAGTGTTTCGCAACGAAACATTAGATGCGACGCATCTCGCTGAGTTTCACCAAATCGAAGGTGTTATTGCCGATCATGGACTGACACTGGGTGATCTTATCGGGACATTGTACGAGTTCTTCAAGAAGCTCGGCATCTCACAGCTTCGTTTTAAGCCCGCGTATAATCCTTACACCGAGCCGAGCATGGAAGTATTCTGCTACCACGATGGCCTGGGAAAGTGGATAGAGACCGGCAATAGCGGCATGTTTAGACCCGAGATGCTACTGCCGATGAATCTGCCCTCTGACGTTAATGTTCTTGGGTTCGGCTTATCTTTAGAAAGGTTAGTAAATAGATGCGTGTTGTGCGATACTAAAAATAAAATAAAATTCGATAACAAGATACAATATTCTTTACTATTTTGTATTCTAGACCAACCATGGTTAAATATGGTTATAACAATATACGTGATCTGGTTGGGCCAAAAGTGGATATGGAGATGGTCCATAACAGTCCTATATGTCGACTAGAGAAGTAAATATCATTCTAAGTTATTGAGGTATTTATGTTAAACCTTTTCCCTTTTGGAGTAACTAGTTAAAATATTTAAATGAACTATTATGGGACATGAAATTCAAAGTCTGTGAAGGTAAAATCACAATCAAAAAGACACGTCATTTAAAGAATTATGTCATTCTCTATGTTATAATTTAAATTAATCGCGCAGTATGTAATCGTTAAATTTGTCCTTTCTCATGACAGAATTAATCGTCAAGTATTTTTTCAACAAAAAACACAAGAACAAGAGCAAAGATCAGGCGGACAAAACAAGAGCAGAGATCAGGCAGACGAAAAAGAAGAGATCGAGCAAACCACGGTGTATTCTTCGGAGAAGCAGGCATTTTCCAAACAACGACATATTATTTTCTGTGATCCGGAATATCCGATTTATTTTCTCGAGTCTTTTCTACGACTCATAAAGCCCTATCTCAGAATTTCAGTGTCAACTTACGTTCATTCTACAGTAAGAGATTTGCCAAAGAATCTTGTAGGATTTTGTTCGGATTTTTCCAACGCTGATCCGGATATACACGTAACTTTAATTTGGAAGACTATTGGAATTGACCCTGTCATAGAGTTATCAGGTATGCGTAAAATCGCAGGAATAGTGAATATCGCGCGGTACTTAAATCGTTTAATTGAACTAACCGATGTTAAAGTATTAATGTACGAACGAAATGGTCCGTCTTACGCGGGCGACGTAGACTCTTACCTGGACAGAATACACTGTGCTTTACACGGTGTGGGTAACGATATATTGCATCCGATCTCCAAAATGACACCTTATGCTTTGGGCGCGTGCATTTCCATAGTCGACATCATTCTCGAATCTATCGATAAATATAACATAAGAAAATTAAAGAAATGATTGTCAAATCTTCCTTGTTTCTTACGTGTAATAACATACCTTGTGCATAGCGTATGGAAAAGTTTATTTAAATTTCAATAAACCAATTAAAAAAAATGTATTTCCGAGTTGAAAAGTTCAATCAACATGCCGTCGCCGCTGCGAACTTCTCGATACTTGATTTCCTTAAAGGCCCCTTCGGGATTTTTATTCGAGAAACAAAGCGACAGCCAGTATCTGCGTGCCGTTATTATTATATGTAACGTCCGAACAATCGTTCGTAACGTGTAATCGTTATTTCCGCAGAAAACGTCCGCTGATTCATTGGCTGCGCGCGCGTTTTTAACCTGACATGGCGTGTCTCGATCGTAGTGTCATACGCATATTCAAGCCCGCCATTGTCAGTGGCGGTGATCGCTGATTCGCGGACGCGCTTACGACCGATACGCAACGCGACGCGGCGTGTCCGCGCGCGAGTGGTAATCGTTCGGAAGCATCGCGGAAGCGCTCATCGTCGGCGGTCGCATTCGAAGAGGGTGATACGCAAACCCGACGATCGTTCCTTATCGTGTGACTCGGCGAGGGGGGAAGAGAGAGAGAAAGACAGACGCGTTTTTGTCGTGCTCGCGCCCCTCATTTCTCGTGGGCGGCCGCCGATTATTGCGCATATCGACAGTTACGGCGGCGCGCGAGTGACTCCCGTGTGTGACTGACAGTGACGAGGTGAGGTGAACAACATCGTCGATGTTAAGGAGGTTGTGCGCGCAAGTTTAACGGCGTGATACGCGCGAACGAGCGAGCGAGCAGCGAGCGAGTGTGCGTGCGCGCGCACGGCAAACACGAGAGAGACGCGACAGCGCGATAACACACATCGTTCGGGCGAGCGTAAATCTCGTGCGTGCGTTTGCGACGACGATATAACGGCATCACGTCGCGGTCACATCGAGTGACCGTGTCACGCTCAGGAGGAGATCGTGATCACGCTAGCGCCAGAGAGAGAAAGAGAGAGAAAGAGAGCGAGCGAGCGAGTGAGCGAGAGACAGACAGAGACACAAGGAGGAAGAGAGCGAGAGATCGTTCGAGAAACGTCGCGAGGACCTGTCCATCCGCCAAGGTTAAAGAAGAGAGGAGACGATCCGTCGTGTGGAATGCCCTGCTAAAATGGCGGTGATCGTCGCGCGGTGCTAGAGAGAGGAAAAAAAGAGGCGACCGCCTGCCTCCGCAGGGGCCGTTCGCGGGTTTTGTTTTGGCACGGCCGTGACCGCGCGAGCCTCGCGGAGAGATCTGAGCCGCGGCTATCGGCCCTTCTTCGTTCGACGCGCACCCCCGATCTCTCGCCGGGCCGTCCCCCCCCCCTCCTCCTGCGCCTTGCCCCGCTGCCAAC